AGTGAGAAACAGGGTTTTTTTCTCTTTTTTTCTATTTTTAATAACAGACTGTGTGCTTGAAATAGAGTTGGTTCTTGTCATTCACGGTAGTTCTGTTCTATCAAGTCAGTGCAAACACCGACTTAGTGAATACCGAACTGCTACTTCTTGGGGTTAGATTCCTGCCAGCCTCTGGTCAGAACATTTTCAACTGAAATGCCATTTGCATTATGTAAGTTTTTTTTTTTACCAACGTTCTGAAAGTGAAGGTCCTCATAATTATGATTTGATTTAAAATATAGTTTGAAAACAATCAGTTTTTTCCTTTCTCTCAGCAAACTTCACTGATCTGGTCTTAGTCTCTCATCTTGACCCATGAGGCAGCAGAAGACAATAGCCCCATTGTGACTAATGGTCTCCAGGGCTGAGCCCCTGTGAGGCTAAAGATAACATCTTTATCTCCGTTTCAGCTCCTGAGCCCTAAGGCTGGTCAACTCCCTTGACTACCTCTCCTTGACAGAGGGTGCCACCCCAAAATACGACTGTAGGAGTTCAAGACGTGCCACCCCCAAATAGGCTGCTTTGGTGTATTGATGATTCAGAGCCGAAGGCACTTGGAAAATAGCAACTGCAGGGAGAGGCTTACCCTGGATGCCCCCCATCTGTCTAAAGACAGATTCTCAAAAAGGAACTCAATTGTCATAAATCCCTTCCTCCAGGAGTGTCATCAAGCGGGGGGACATTGGATCTTATCACAGGAGAGGAGGCCACACAGACACAAACTTTGTCACAACTGTGATACCTCCCACATATTCTTCTAAGGACCCTTTCCTAAAACTTATTTACTCCCCCTAAATTGCCTTCATCCCCGCTCTTCTTCTCCTGTTAAGATGGTATTTAATCTCGGACGTGGTTCCATAGTGTAGCAGTTAGCACATCTGCTACACACACAGAAGGTCCTGGGTTGGCACCCCAGTGGAGCCACGGTCATGGTCTACAGCCATGCCACGCTGAACAAGCCTGATGCCTGATCTCAGAAGCTAAGCAGGGTCAGGCCTGGTTAGTACTTGAATGGGAGACCACCTAGGAAAACCAGGTGCTGTAGGCATAAATAAAAAATAAAAATAAAAAGATGGTATTTGACCTTGAATTCTAAGGCACCTCAGAGTTATTCATTCTCCCTTGGCATCTCTCATGTGTATGTGAGGTAGACATGTTAATAAACTTCCATTTTCTCTTATTGATCTGTCTTTTATTTCAGGGGTCTCCGAAGGGTAGAGGGAACATTATTTTTCCTCCCCTACAAACTCATGCCCAAAAGAAGCTTATCTAACACACATATTTTCTCCACAAGGCACATGGCAGCCTTCTTAGGCTTAAGAAAACTAGACAGCATTTCGCCACTATGCTTGGGCCATTTCAAACAGCAAAATTACCAACAAAAAGCGGAAAAATGCAACAACAGCAACAACAACAAAAAACACTAAATAAACCGCAAAAAGGATGCTTGTTTACGATATAAGAGAAGAAACAAGAAGGCAAAATGTCACTTTTTGACTTCAGCTGGGAACCTGCACATTCAAATTTATTGCCACGAATTTAGTATCTTAAGACATCACAAATTTATTATCTTATGTAGATCTAAAAGTCAGAAGTCCCCAAGTCAAGAAAGACATCAGCGGAGCTGCATTCCTTCTGGAGGCACTGGGGAAGAACCCAGAGACCACACAGGAGCTTTTTCCAGCTCCTAGAGCCTGCCGGCCTTCCTGGTTCCCCTTCCATCTTCAAACTGGGCAGCGCAGCATCTTCAAAACCCTCTCTGTCCTCTGCTTTTGTCTTACGCCTCCTACTCTGACTCTGAACTTCCTGCTTCCCTCTAATCAGAAAACGTGTGATTACCCTGGGCCCACCAAGATTATGCAGGTCGATCTTCCCATCTTATCATCCTCAATTTAATCACATCTGCAGAGTCTCTTTTGCCAGGTAAAGTAACATTCACAGGTTCTGGGGATGAGGACACGGACATTATTCTACCACAGTAACCTCTGTCATTTCCAAACCCTTTCTCTTCTTTTCTCTTTTAACAACCCCGACTCTTTTGAAGATTGCGTTGCTTTTAACCAATTAACCCTCCTTATTACTATAACCCAACGACTTTCAACCTTTGCTGCACAGGAATTATCAGGAGAGCTTTTAAAACTCCCAGTGCTCAAGTCACACTCCAGACACGTTCAGTCACGATATCTGCAGATGGAGCCAGGGATCAGTACTTTCTTTTAATATCCCTGGGGATTATACCATGAAAAACTTGGGCTGGGGAGGACTGTTGCTGTCAGTGACAGACTTTCCCCAAACTCGCCTACATATTCCTTCAATAATGGGTGTGAGAACCTATTGCATAATTTGTGGGGTGCAGTGCAAAATGAAGGTGGTTAAACAATCACGAATTTCAGGAGAGTAACTGCAGGGGGCACACACCTCGAGGCCAGCACATGGCTCAGTATCTCCTGCCCTCCAGAGCCTGTCCTCAGCTCTGATGAGGTCAGTAGCCACGTGCCCATCCAGTATCTGGGCTCCCCAGTGCCCTGACCTTCACATCAACAAGATTCACCTGTCCCCTTCACACGGTTCATCCGCACAGCCTCTGAGACCTCGTTCTCAAAGCATCCTGTACTGACCCTCAGGACCCAGCTTCTTCCAGGGGTGCTCCGCCCTGCCCTGCCCTCCAGGACCTCCAGTCCATCCACTCTCCTATTTTTGCCTTGTTATAAATCTCCAACTTCCTCGTGTCCTTTCTTCCATCCTGACAGGCCACAGCCCTACACTACAATCCTTTCCTTACTGACACGTTTTGCTCTGACCTGTGAGCCTGGCAAAATACCAAACCTCCAACCGCCCCGGCCCCAGCCTGCACTAGCAGCTGGAGATGTTGGCAAGAAACTGTAGGAGGCTGACAGAACTCTCTTGACATTTAGATCACAGATGGCAGATGGGCTCCCAACTCTGCTAGTCTATGCCTAGTTCATACATTCACTTTCTCACGCTGCAACACGGCTATTCTTGGCTCAGATCTCCCAGACTGATCTCACTTGCTAATGACCTCAAATCGCCCATCTTTCCAAGAGAAAATAATGCCCTCAAGGAGAGCCACCCAACATGCCTGGAACTAGACCCACACACTCTGCCTTCCCTCCTGGCACAAGAGGTGCCTGCTGCCAAGGCCAAGCCTCCACCTGAGCCCCACATCCCATCTGCACTCACCTCCCCACATATTTTGTTCTTGAATTATCCCTCCACCCCTTCGCCACCTTTACTTCTCGTTGAGATTATGACCATTGTGTAAAAATATGCCTTTTAAAACTCTTTAAAAAGAATTCAAGTCATACAAAGTATGTTCTCTGACTACAATGGAATTGGGAAATCAATGACAGCTGGAAAATCCCAAAACAGTTCAAAAATAATAAACATACTTCTAAATACCCACGATCGAGGAACATAACGAAAAAGTAAATTAGAAAGTATTTTAAACCAATCGAAATTGAAAACAGAACATATCGATGTTCATGGAGTGCCACTAACTTAGCACTTAAAGAGAAATTGATAGCCCTTAATGCCTGTATTAGAAAAGAAAGATCTCAAGTCAATGACCTCATCTTTCACAATAAGAAACTAGAAAAAGAGCAAATAAAATCCAAAGTGAGTTTTTTAAAAAAGGAAATACAGATTAGAACAGAAATATAACATAACCAGAAAGAGAAAAATATCAATAAAACCAAAAGCTGCTTCCTCAACAAAAATCAATAAAATCGATAAACCTCTAGCGAGACAGAGGATGAGAAAAAAATATGAAACACAATTACCAATATGAGGAATGAGAGAGGTGGCATCACTACCAATATTAAAGGGATTAATAAGGGCATATTATGAACAACTTCATAACAACAGAGTCAACGACTTAGATGAAATGTACTAATTTTCTGAAAAATATAAATTAAGCTCAGTCCAGAAGAAACAGAAAACCTGAATAGCTCTATTTATTTAAAATAGAGTTCCAAATAATGTAGGAGAGGAAAGAAATGTTGGTTGAGGCACAGTAGGGGACCACACACAGCAGATGCCCACCTTCCTGACTCACCCGTTGACAGAGAAGGTGGAGTCAATGTGACAGAGGCATAGCAGCTTAGCCAGTTCTGCTTGGGAAAAGCTGAGTCATAGGAAGATGGAAGCTCTCCATAAACCTACAAATCACCCATCGAACACCCTCAGATCAACCACACTCACATTATACTAAAGAAGCTAGGTGGGAGAGTTCCAATCGCCCACCCACACCTTGACACACCTTTTGGAATTCCTTTTCAGTTGAACTTTGTGGGTGCACAGATTTCACTGGGAGAGAAAAAAATAAATGTATCACCTTGAACAAGGCTAAAACGCAGACACTTAGCATCCCTAGGAGTTACGCAAGGATCAAATAAAAACATTCCAGTAAAAGGCTTGGTACACGGTCAGAGCTTCATAAACATTCTCTCCCACTTGGGGGCGCACTGGGAATCACACAAACCGCGGTACCCTACGCACACCTGTAAATCTACCCATAGGACCTTTTTGCTGTAATTATCCCTAGAATTTCTCTTAAGAGAGAAAGGGGATCTATGTCCTCAGCAGCAGTTACCGTGTCTAAAAAATTCCGTTGCATTTTAAGGAAAAAGCAAACATTCTCGTTCTACAGGGAATGATGGGCTCACGAAAATTACTCAGCACTTGATTTTTCTCCTTTGGGGTTCTCCTAAAATAGTTTCTTCAATCCAATTGCCATGAATCTCTAGACCCGATCGATCCATCACCGTCCGGTTTGGTTCTGGGAGAACCGCTCCACCCAGCGGACCCCGCTTTTGGCTCAGAGAAGGATCTGAAGAGGATGCGGCTTGGGGATGGGGCGGACCCGGGAGTGGGGCGTTACTAAACCTCCGGGAGATGAAGGCCCCTCCTTGGAGGGAGGGACCAAGGCCCGTTTTTTAAGTCGCAGCACTGGACCCCAGGACTCTGTGCGGCTTCTCTGATCGTGGCCGGCTCTCTGAAGCGGGCGCCCCGCGTGGTCCCTCCGCTCTTCGCTCAAGTGCCTTGCTCGCCCCCCGCAGCCATGTCGTCCTGCAGCCGTGTGGCGCTGGTGACCGGCGCCAACAAGGGCATCGGCTTTGGCATCGCGCGGGACCTGTGCCGGCAGTTCTCGGGGGACGTGGTGCTCACAGCGCGGGACGCGGCGCGGGGCCAGGCAGCCGTGCAGCAGCTGCAGGCCGAGGGCCTGAGCCCGCGCTTCCACCAGCTGGACATCGACGACCTGCAGAGCATCCGCGCCCTGCGCGACTTTCTGCGCAAGGAGTACGGGGGCCTGGACGTGCTGGTCAACAACGCCGGCATCGCCTTCAAGTGTAGGTGCGGGAGTGGGAGGTCCCTGGGCGCTCCCCCGGTGCGGGGCAGCGAGCGCATTCGCCCCACCCCCGCATCCACTTGAGTGATCGCGAAGGGCAGCGCGCCCCCCTCCGGATGCCCTCGGCTCTCGCTTCCTGCGGCGGTTCCCGCGGAGTCACTGCAGCTGTTCGCTCAGCGCCAGGCGGTCCCGGGAGACCGGCGCAGCGCGCCCCGCCCGCCTGCCCTCCGCCCTGCGCGGGCCCTCCCGGACGGGTCAGCCGCTGCGGTCCGCCAGTGAACCGGCCCCCTGGGAGGGGGCCGCGCCCTGCTAAGCTCATCAGCTTTCTGTCTAATGCAAGAAACGTTTTCTCTGCGAAGGGTCTCCAAGCTCACTTTGGGCTTTCACTTTCCTTGAAAGGGCGCATTGAGAGATGCCAGGAGGCGTCTGCCCTGGACAGGAAATGAATTGCTGAGACACGACGAGCGCGCACTCGCACGTCAGTGGACTCCAGACTTTGTTTAATGGAGAGCTTTCATAGGCTCCAGCAAAAAGGAAGCGAGCCTGTTCCCTCCCCCTGGGAACTTATGTTTATTATCAAACATAGAAGTGTGGTTTTAAGTAGCATCACTGCTACTTGGGGTGGGGGGCGGAAATCAAGATTATTTATTCTACTACTCGATTAGGAAAGTTATTGAGCTGCCATGTGCTGCTGGTAGAAAGAAATAAACAGGCCAGCGTCACTTACGACGTCGTGGGGAAGAGAAACCCAGAGGCAGAACGGAGTCAAATGAACTACTGTGAAATAAATCGTCACGCCCTTAGCCTTGGGTACTCACCATCGGGGTGCGCCCGCACCTGCAACTCAGTCTGCGGGCTTTTGGGGAAGGCGGGTGGGAGATGGCAGACACCCCCTGGGGCCAATGGCTGAGAAATTGGTGGGTAAATAGCCCGCTTTCTGGACGACGGGTGGGGGAACACTGCCGTGTGCTGGAAACCTTGCCCCTCAGAGCGCGGGCATTGGACCAGCAGCACGCGCACCCCTGGAATCACAGAACTTCAGGCCTCGCCCTACAGCTGCTCAATTAGAATCTACATTTTAATAGGATCCCCAGGTGTCCCCTGTGTCCATCTAAGTTTAAGAAGCAGTGATCAAAGCCATTTCTCCAAGAATGGCTCACAGACTAGCAGACCAGGAGCTGTAGCCCCACCCTGGACCATCTCACGCCGAAATCTGTGGGTGCCACCCAGAAAGCCGTGTTTTAACAGGTCTTGCAGGTGATTCAGATACACGGGAACCACCAACCCAGTGGTTTTAAAACTGTAAAGTTAACTTGTTTTTAAAGATCCCATTGTCCTGAATTTCAGAGGGAAATGCTTGACTGTCTTTGTTTTCTTTTCTTTTTGCAAGTTGATGATCCAACACCCTTTGACATTCAAGCTGAGATGACACTGAAGACAAACTTTTTTGGCACGAGAAATGTTTGCACCGAGTTACTGCCCATAATAAAACCTCATGGTGAGTTCAGTGTGTACGTCTGTCAACAAGGAGTGAGCCGTGGGACTGTCCCGTGGAGATCAGGGATACTATTTCTCCATAGGGGGGAAAAATAGAAACTGTATTATTTATTTTTTCATAGTATTATATCTGGCTCCTCACCCGAACATTTTAGCTTTAAAAGAGATGTGTGACATATGGCAGTGTTCTTGGGACCCATGTCGTGAACTCAATCCTAGAACAATAGGGTGTTGCAAGTCACAAATGGCACCTTGACTTTTGCAACCTCAGTGAGTCCTCCAGCTCCCCAAGGTGGCGGGGCCACACCCAGCTCACCTGCGGGTCTGGAGATAGTGACTGTTCTAAACTTTCCCTGTATTCCATTCCTCGTGTACCAAACTTTGTAAAGCTGATTGAGAACACCCCAAAGAAAATTTTCTTTATTAGGAAATATCTTGCCCACGCTCCCAAGGATTCAGCAAATACCTTTTATTACTTTTTCATGCCTACTGTAACCCAGGGAATATTCTGGGTGCTGGGTATACAATGGAGAGGGGTCAGTAAATGGACACCGTCATCGACAAAGAATCCTAAGTAAATTACAACTATTCTGGGAAGGCGGGAGAGCAGCCTTGCTCTCCTGAGGCTTCTCTTTCCCAAGAAGTCAACTGTGATTCTTAGGAAGAACAGCTCTGTTGTTCTTATTGGCAACGTGCTTTTTTTAATTTAACATTTTGAGTAAAGATGATCTCTAGTACAAAAATCTCAAATATCTAAAACCATGCGTGGTAAGATTCGCACCTGTACTCCAGCTACCCCCCACCCAACTTGCCCAGTTCCTATCTCCAGCCTCCGCAGGTAATTCTCTGCATTGGTTTCCTAGTGGAAAACTCAAAGGTAGAGTTTCAGGTACTGGCTGAAGGAAACCTTGGGTCTATGTTCATACAATTGATGAGTGCCCAGGGCCAACAGACAGACTTATAAACGCAGATTTTAAGCAGATCTAAATGCATAGTTTTTGCTCCTTTTTTTTTTTTTTTTTTTTGTTTTTTTTTTTACGCAAAAAGGAACATAAAATATGTTTGCCACCTTGTTTTCTTCATTTACTCTATCTGGGGCTCTTTCCAGATCAGGACAGAAAGCTTTCTTATTCTTTTTCACAGCTGCATAGTATTTCATTGTAGCGTTGTCTTTTTACCGGGTACCAGGAAGTCTTCTTCCTGTGGATTTTAGAATCATAGAATTTGAAAGCTGCAAGGTGTTAAAGAAACCTTACATTTCTATACCTTCACTTTACAGAGAAGGAAATCGAGGCCCAGAGAAGTGCACAAAGCCAGGTAGTAATGGAACTGGAAGCAGTAGCCGGATTTCCTGACTTCACCCCTTGACCAAGCATTTTGAAAGATAAAAGAAGGCTCTGGGGGTTGGGGCTCAGGGTTCAACCCAGAACAGCTGAATCACTGTCTTCAATTCATCCTGTAACAGTGTTTCCCAAAGCAGGAATCTCTTCACAACACATCGAGAATATTTGTGACTTTTCCAAAAACCTCGCATTTACTTGGAGGACAAAACACTGAGCATCATTGTGCCTTGATTTGTAGGGAATCGCTTTTGCTCTAATTTAAAAGCCACTCTTTTTTTAGGTTTACAATATCACTTTAAAGAAAGTTTGAAATTCAGCTTGTTCCTTTGATTCTGAGTAAATAGGTTAATCAGCTGTCTCACCACTAGGAGGTGCTGCTTGCCCACTCTTTCTAAGGGGTGGGGTTGGAGGGGTCTTTCCGGACCAGTGAGGTCACACCACCTCAAAGAGGACACTTCTTCCTTTCAGGAAATCTTTTATTTCCATCGAAGGTGTAGGGTAGCTCCTGTAATTTCTTTTTTTCTATATTCCTTCCCCTTTTACATTTAATTCCTTGTAGCAACCAAGAGATTGAGAACAAAACTGTTTAGAAAGTAACAAAGAACACAACGTTGTGGGTGTGGTACCCCCGAAATGTTGAAGTGGATCTAATCATGAGAAAATCAGGCCGAACCAATAGTGTTGTATGTACCATGCAAAATAATGGCATACAGTCTTCAAAAAGGTCATCTACTCTAGATTAGAACAGGCTAAAGAGATATGACGACTAAATGCAATCCCATGATCCCACCTTGTATGAAAACAAACACAACCTATAAAGGAAGATTTTTGAAACAACTGGGGACATTTGAATATGGACTATTCTTTAGGTAATAGTGTTGTATGTACCATGACAAATGTCTTGAGTATGATCACTGTGGTTAGGTAAGGGAATGCTTACACACACACACACACACGCACACACACATGTGCACATTTAAGATGAAGGTTTATAACTTAGAGACCGAGAGAAAGCAAATGTGGCAAAATGTTAAGAATCGGTGCACTTAGGTGAAAGGTATAGGAATGCTTATTGACCTATTCTTGCAACTTCTCTGTAGGTTTCAAATAAAAGTTAAAATTGGGAAGGACATATGTATTATC